TTCAACCAAATAGTTTCTATGTACCCTTTCCCCATAATTACTGTTATTGGAAAGCGAGTACTAGAAATTATCCCAGAGATCACCATGTCTTTTCGTTAAATTAATTTTAATTGTCCAAATGTTATCTAATTACCCATTAATAATGCCCATTGTGAAGCTGCACACTTTTGAACTGTACATGATTCTGAGCCATTTCTCTAAGATGTTCCTATTTCCAGTTACCTAGTCAACTGTTTAGAAGCAATTTATCTGTTTCATTCAGTAAATAACTGTTGAGTGTTTACTATGTGTAAGTTTCTGTGTTGAACTTTATATTAGTCACTCTTTTAAACTGGCTATTGTACTCAGAATCAAAGTCATGTTTAATTATTTTGAAAACTTTATCAAACCAGCGTGAATCACTGTTTGATTTTACCTTTGGCATCATTATTTTTATTTCCCTGTAGCAAATATGATTAAAAGTATGTTGCTGTTGTTAGTTACCATCGAGTTGGTACTTACTCATAGCGACCTTATAAACAGCAGAACAAAACACTGCCCAATCCTGGGCCAACCTCACTACTGTTGCCATACTTGAGTCCATTGATGCTGCCACTTGGCCAATTCATTACGTTGGGGGCCTTCCTCTCTTTGTCTGACCCTCCACCTTACCAAACATGATATCCTTCTCCAGCAACTGTTCCCTCCTGACAATATGTCCAAAGTATGAGAGACGAAGTTTGGCCATCTTGGCCTCCAAGGAGCACTCTGGCTGAACTTTCTTCAAAAACGCATCTATTGGTTCTTTTGGCAGCCCATGGCACTTTCAATATTCTCCTCCAACACCATAACTCAAAAGCATCTATGGTCTTCCTTAATCACTGTCCAGCTTTCACATGCATATGAGGTTATTGTAAATACCATGGCTTGGGCCAGGCGCACCTTAGTTCTCAAGCTTACATCTTTGCTCTTCAACACTTTAAAAAGGTCTTGTGCAGCAGATTTGCCTAATGCAATACGTCATTTGATTTCTTGACGGATGCTTCTGTGAGTGTTGATAGTTGATCCAAAAAAGAATGAAGTTATTGACAACGTCGTTGATAAGAATGTTATTTATTGGTCCAGTGATGAGGATTTTTGTTTTTATCCATTAGATGCACATAAAAAGAGCACTTGTCATGTTTTCTTTTAAGTTCTATATCATCAAATAAAATGTATGTAGTTATCCAATATGGTACTGGGAACTTGTTGTTTTTGTTAAGTGCCGTCGAGTTGGTTCCGATCCATAGCAACCTTGTATAGGGTTTCCCAGAGCAACTGGTGAGCTTGAACCACCGACCTTGTAGTTCAAACAACTTTCACAGTCTGGCGCATTAACCCACATCACCAACTATCAAATGATAGTACAACAAAGTGCAAACATAATGCAAGGTAGAAAATGGTTACATCTGTTAGAGTGTTAGATTCCTCTCAGTTAGCCTGACTTTGATGGGAAAATACTTAGCTATGTCACGTCACTGACACAAATCAAAGAAAAAGCTGTATTTCTTTCCATATGACATCAGTTTTATTCATCTTCACCTCTCAACTTGATTCTTACTCTTTCCTCTTACTCTTTACTTCCTATACACCGTCTGCCATGATGTTTTCTAAAAACACCCCATTCCAATGTCAGATTTGTCTAGAATGCCAGTAGTGCCAAGGTTTTTCCCAACTAGACTTGGAGCCTAGATTTGGATGGGCATTTTAAACTCTTGATGAGGAGAAGGAAGACACTCTGTTTTACTTAATGTGGCAACATAAACTGGGTTTCTGGTCACATTAGACCCAGCAAGTTAGTTCCTGTAGTAATGAAGAATGATATTCTAATGGGATGTACAATCAAGGAATTCTCTAATCCTTAGAAAGTATTCTTAAGGCAACCAACCAGCACACCTTGGGGTTTCACAAAATTCATTCACCTGATCTTGAACAATATCTGCCACATAGAATTATCTTAGAAAAAAATGCCAAATTTCAAATGTATAAGAGATTCTAGGCCTGGATGACCAAGCCTGCAGATATTTTTAGATAAAAATGCTGTCCTCTTCTCATATTCATCTTTTTGCTCAGACTCCTCATGCCATCATTTGTTCCCATACCAGGACACTGGTGAAAAGGTAATGTGAACATAATGCTCCACAAGAGCACTTATCTCTGAGATGTCTATTACAGGTTTGAACTTTGTACCAAGCCTGGAGAATGTTTCAGAACTCAGAAATCCCATTTTTGCTCCATGGAGGACAAAGAAATTTTAAAGTTTATAATATGACCTCTTTTTCTCATGATTTACAGGCATAAGTAACTAAGGGTAGAGTTAGTACTTGTCATTGAGCTAAAAAAGCATTTTCCAAAGTGTATTGTTATCCAAAAAAATGCTTCATGGTGAGTAATGGTGAGCTAAATTCGAGCCTATAAAGTACTAACGTCTATGCTGAGTGTCTAAGAGAAGTATGTTGTTGTTGTTGTTATTAAGTGCTGTCAAGTCTGTTCTGACCCATAGCAACCCTGCATAGGGGTTCCAAAGGCAGCTGATGAGCTTGAACTGCCAACCTTGCAGTTCAGACGGCTTTGCAGTCTGGCACATTAACCCACAGCACCACAGTATAGGAACTGTCTCATTTCCTAAACCTATTTGGACATGGAAACTTTACTTTATGCTGTTTCTCGTGAGATTATTGTAATTCTATGGAACATGCTTTTGAAAATGACCTGTAAAAATAGACACATTATTTTCAGACAATGACCTTTTATATTCTTTCCACACAAATTAAAAATAAAATAATTTTACTTTTCAAGGGAATTTGTATTCCATAAATGAAGATTAGTCTATTCAATCATCAAGTTAATGATTTTGACTCTATTTTTCATAGAAAGAAGAGTTCCCACTGACCAGCTTACCCTTGTGTAGTAGGGCCACAGTTTTCTAGAGAGATGTTTAGTGATGGGGACTCCGATTTGCATTCAGAGAACTCAGAGCCTGGCAGATTCTGTTGCCTCGTGTTATCATTGAATCCCTGTCCAGTTTCTTCAGTGTTGTTTCTGTTGTTGTTAAGTGCTAACAACACTGTGAGAGGGTAGTGGTTTACAGCCATTTGGGAAATAACTTGCCTAAGTAATTCTTGGTGTGGTACTGTAGGATAAGCACTGGACTGCTCACTACAAGGTTGGCAGTTCAAACCTACTAGCCCTATATAGCGTCATTTTGAGTCAAAACCAACTAGACAGCACTAGACTAGTGAGACAGTCCAGGGGGATCATGATGTTTCACAGTGAGGGTTTAAAGACAGTCTGACTAAGTAGCCCTTCTATATAGATCGGGAACTAACATAGAAATTAAGCCCAAAACTAAAGAAATAATTAAAGCAGAGCATAAATTAGATATCTTGACTCCATAATTAGGGCTTTATGGAAAATGAAATATGCTTCCAGCTTGATCAGATTCCCAAATCAACATTTCCTAGATTGTGTTCATAAACCATTCCTTAAACTATGCTCCCTTGCTGTTGAGTGGACCCTGAGTCACAGCAACCCTCTAGGACAAAGCACAATTGTCCCACAGGCTTTCCAAGGCTCAGATCTTTGCAAAAGCTGACTACCACATTTTTCTCTCATGGAGTGACTGGTGGATTCCAACTACCAACCTTTTGGTTAGCAGCTGACTGCTTAACCACGATGCTACCAAGACTCCTTCTTAAACTAAACAGCTAACATTTACTAAACATTGGCTATGTGGCAAGATCTTTTCTGTAAATTCTAGGTGTATTTCTTGAACAAAGTCCTTGTTATGAAGAAGGTTACTTTCAAATAGGAAAGCTATCAAGAAGGAAGTACACAAGTAATCTGATGTTGAAGTAAAGCCTTATTCTCGTTTTCTCTGATTCATCTTCTGGTATACCGGATAACTACAAACTGAGTTTTTCCAAATTGTTATTGTTAGGTGTGGTAGACTTGATCTTGACTCCTTATATGCCCATGTTTAATCAGTTCTAACTCATAGCAATCCTGGATAAAGTTTCTGAGGAGTAACTGGTGGGTTTGAACTGCCAACCTTGTGGTTCGAAGCCCAGCACTGATCCTACAATGCCACACCACAAATCTAAATCACATTTTATATATTATTGGTTTCTATTTAAGAAGCCCTAGTGATGTCATGTTTAAAGAGCTTGGATGCTAACTGGAAGGTTGGTAGTTCAAACTCTTGTACCACTCCACAGGAGAAAGATGAAGCAACCTGCTTTTGCAAATATTTATAGCCTTGGGAACACTACAGGGCAGTTCTACTCCATCCTATAAAATTATGATGAATTAGAATCAACTTGATGGCTGTGGTTTGGTTTGACATAGACAAGTGATCATCTCCAGCATTGCATTAATTTGCTGAAACATTACCATTTGTATTCTGTCAAATCATGGAGCCTTGTTTTTTGTCATTGCCTTCAGAGCAGCTTGGACTCCTTCCTCCAGTATCATCATTTCTTGATTATTTTCTTCCTCTTGAAATGGTTATCTTTAAGTGGATTTGAACCGCCAAACTTTCAGTTAGCAGCAGAGTTGTTATGAGGGGGCTTCAAAAAGTCCTGGAAAAATTCCATTATCTTCCAGTTCCATCTTCCAGGTACTTCTTGAAGCTCTTCATGTATTGTTTTTATCCTCTGTGGTCATGACACCTAGGACAGTTTTCATAAAAAAAGAAGTGATGGGGGGCGGGTGTCAGAGTTTTTAGTAATATTTGTTCTCTGAGTCAGATCTGTATATAATCATTAGCTCATGATGTGGTTGCAGTGGAATTTACAGACTTCACACATAGACACTCAGATAATATATGGACTATAATTTTCTAAAATGATCTGCAATTTTTCTCTCTCACCACTTTAAATTGTATTAAAGGAAAGAAAAAGAAAGGCTACAGTTTATTATATCAATTTAAATACCTTGTTTTCATTTACTTTTTACAGGACCAAGATCAACTTCACAAACCAAAAATGAAGTTCTCAATCACAAGTCGGTGCTTAGTAATATTCATCTTTCTTAATGTAAGTACAATAAAATTATTCTATTTAATCAAGAATTTTGCAATAAAGAGGAATATTTTTAGTATGATTGAATGGGCATTTGCAAGGGTAAACAATGTTCTCCCAAAACATAGGACCCATAATTCTCTTAATATTTTGTTAACAAATCTCCTCCCGAATTTACATGACATTAAAGTAATGCTATGATATTCCTAGATACTGAGTTTTATTCTGCTTTAAAACATTAGCCTTCATTTGAAACAATATCTTCATATTATTTTGGAATTAACATCAAAGACCAAGCTCTTGAATGAAATGACTAATATTAGACATGAATTTGAAATAGTTTCTGGGCAGCTAGCTGTCCTTTTAAACATTTGAACTCCATTAATCTGGTTATTTAATTTCAAATGTGACTTTCATCAAAAACTGATATAATCTTCAGGTATTTATATGCTACATTCATTCCATAAGCTTTCTCCAGCCTTTCATACACTTTTCTCAATTTATACACTTTTGTATTATTTTTCTATTAAAAGAGTTAACAAGTGGGAGTGTAATTGTATGTGTATTTCTGTCAATGTTGTTAACTCACCATTGCCTCAATCCCAAGAGCATATGAAAGAGACAGGAGTAATTTTTGCATAAATCTATTTAGGATTGTCTCTACCTTTGTCCTAACATCAGGAGAACACTGACCACTTAATTACAGCTAGCAATAGACATCACACAGTATCTGATACTGTTATACTGACCCAAGCAAAGCTTGCCCACATTCTAGGGTCACCTTTGCTCACTAATATGTAGTTGCAGACTTACAAAGCTGGTTAAACAACTTGTCTTTACTTTGTTGTTGTTAAATGCTGTAGAGTCAGTACTGGCAACCCTGTATAGGGTTTCTGAGGAACAGCTGGAAGGTCTAAATCTCCAACCATTTGGGTTGTAGTGCAGTGCTTATCCTACAGCACCACACCAGGACTTCTTGGTGATTGTTGATAAGTACCATTGAGTCGGTTCCCACGAATAACAAACCTGGATAGGATTTCCAAGGAGTGGTGGGTTTGAACTTCTTATCTTGTTGTTAACAGTCTGGTACTTATCCTACAATGCCGCACCAGGATGCCATATTACTAATATTCCATTAATCTTAATTTAAGGCTTATTTTCAAGTCGAATTAAGAGTCAGAATGCTAACCTCACGGTCAGCAGTTTGAAACTACCAGCTGTTCCATGGGAGAAAGATGAGGCTTTCTGCGCCCGTAAAGATTTACAGCTCAGAAACCCTGTACAGCTATGAGTTGGAACCGACTCCATGGTACATAACCCAACCCCCAACCCAATATATCAAGTAATGGTTTGTGATGACGATTTTAATACAGTGTTTTTGTATGCATTGTATGATAGGTATATTTACTTTTACTATGTTAAACTGTCATAGTATCTAAACTGTTAAATATACTGTTAAAAATGTAAAGTAAATTTGCTGCAGGTAATCTGGCATTTGAATATGTGGGTAACTTCACACCATTAAGAAATAAAAATATTTAAACAAGAATATTGTTGAAAGTAATCGAATATTTTAATTTGTCTGTAAACATCCAAAACGCGTGTGATATTGCTGCAGAAATATTATTATGTTTTACCCATGGATTAATGAAATCTGATGTGATCATGTATATAAGAATATTTCTAAACTATTCTATTTCACAGAGAATAGGTTTATATCAGACTTTGATAGAAGTAAGACTAAAGTAACTGCTAAATGCTAAGAAAGTTTGAGAATTATATAATGGCCTCTTTTACTTTGAAGACTACAGATATTTTTTAGAGTATTATAAAGCTAAAGCAAGTTATTTTTACTCAGTATTTTCATTTAATTTTTACAAGTCAAAGTTTGAAAGAATTTTATATGTTTGTATGAGTCATTAACAGAAATATTTTATGGTTTGTAGACATCTTTTCACTAATACAAAAAACTGAACAGAACATTTAAATAACTTTGTTATCTCTTTGTTGTGACAGACAGAAATTTGCTTCTCTGTCTTTCTATGAGTTATATATTTGATTTGGAAGGTTTGTCTGTAGTACAAAATTTGATAAATCAAATTTCTTTTAAAACATTCAATGCATTTTCACATTGATAGTCTTCAGAATAGATTAATTTAAAAAAACAAGTTAATGTTCTTAATTACGTAAAAACATTATTTCCTGATACTACAATATTGTGAACCATCACTGCCCGTATATTTATTGCATTTTACCAACTTAGTTTCAAATGGTCTTTAGAGTATCTATTTGGGTTACCCGGTTCCATTATTCCAATCTACATTAGTACAAAGTGTCCATTCACTTCTCATAGTGAGCACTCAAAATCTACTAGTAAAAATGACAACAATTAAGTCATAGAAAAACTAGGCTCTTCTAAGAAGCATGGTTTCATTCTGGTTGCTTACTTTGCTGTGTTTCCCTTATTAACTTGAATTTATAATTTATGCAAGTTTTATTGTTTATATAATGCTTAAATGAAAAGTACACCAACCAAACAGCTGGTGTCACCTGTATTTTATCTTTTGTTCTTGTGAAAAATATAAGTAACTGAAAAATACAAATAATTCTGACATACATTTTCAATGAATAATGATGGAATGGAAATCTTGTTGGATATATCAATTTGTGGATTTTGGACTCATATTCTTTTTACAGAAGCTCTGCCTATGGTCATATGTGCACAGTCCATACATTCAGTGGACTTGAACCATTTCAAAGATGGGCCATTTCTCAAAGTTTCACACAAAACAGCCCTGAAACTTTTCTGTCTTTACCCTTTTTCTAGAAACTACCTGCAACTCCCAAAGCAGGTTGATCAAATTACATCAGACTAAGGATGTCCTGGCAGTGGTGGTGGTGGTGTGCCCTGGTAGCATGCCCTGGCAACATAGTGGTTACGAATCAGGCTGCTAACCTCAAGGTCAGCAGTTCGAAGCTACCAGCTGTTCTGCGGGAGAAAGATGAGGCTTTCTGCTCCCGTAAAGATTTACAGCCTCAGAAACCCCCGTACAGGGTCACCATGAGTCGGAACTGACTCCATGGCACATAACCACCACCACCACAGGCACATACCCACCACTACCACAGGAACGTCCTGAGTCCATGCCCATTCAAATCTGTTTGCTTTCCTCAGGACTCCGTAATTATTATGGATGAAATCCTGTAGAATGAGCACCGTGAGAGTAGGGAGACGGTCGGTCGTATTCACTGCCGAATCTCCAGAAGCTACAACAGTGTTTGGCACATAAGAGGCATTCAACGTACTTATTGACTGAAAGTACCATCGATATTTTGGCTGTAGACTACAGCTGCTGGTGGCAGCTTGGCGGCCGTATTTGTGGTGCCATTTACTTTAATGTTTAGGAGTGACATCACATATACGGTGGCTAAACTGCCCCATGGGACAACAATTTAAGAGTTTTCTTTTGAAGAATCAAGTGAGATGGCTTGTTTGTCAAATTTTCAACACTGGTCCTTACTCAAAAAAGTAATATTCCATTAATGTTTCATTTCTATCATCATGTCTGCATAGATTCATATATTTATTTAAACCCTCAAATTTTATAGCATAAGCATAGCATTTATGAAGAGTAAAATATTTTCAAGTCTGTCATATTACTTGGTAATATTATTTAATCACTTCTGGTTTTATTTTACTTCCTTGTTTTTGGAAATAAAGCCATCTCATTGGCAATTTTTAAATTATTTATATGAAACCATAAGTGGAAGCAGGAATATGCTTAAAGAACTTTATGAAATTTTTATATATGTTATTTTAAATAACAGTAATTGCATGCTTGGAATCATATGTTTGTGTGTGTGTGTGTGTTGTTGTTAAGTGCCATTGAGTTGGTTCCAATTCATAGCTACCCTGTATAGGGTTTCCGAGGAGCAGCTGGTGGGTTTGAACTGCTGACCTTGTGATTTACAATCCAGTACTGACCCTACAATGCCACATCAGGAATCCATATCTATATCTAGCTATCAATCTATAGATATTATAGATAGATATAATATGTATAGTTAGATAGATAGATCAAGAGATCAGAGTCCTGGTGTGGTGTTGTGGGTTAATGTGTTGGACTGCAAAGTCAGTTTGA